ACACTCACATCCACACCCACCCCACACCCACACCCACACCCACACCCCTTCTACCCAATTTGTGTTGAATCAACACTGTAATCTTATACATGTTGGAAGAAATATGTGGTGACGCATGTATCAATCTTAAAGCGAGAAGGCTAAACATTATCCTGCAATGTATTTTCTGGAAAAAAATAACTTATGAAAAAATTATTTTTAATTCAGTTCAACATCTTATCATTCAAAATGGATATAACATACAAAAATTCTCAAAATATTTTCCAAATGTCAATAAACTCACCATTCTTATAAAATATTATTCTAATTATTTTATCACATCGTTATCTTTGATACCTAATATTCATACGGTAGATTATGTTTCGTTTAGTATCAAAAAAATTAAAGGATTTATGGATCTTTGTCATTAATTGCAACATCTTCTTATCGGTACATCTGAACGATGTTTTGAACCAACGATTCAAAGCAATTGTTATTTATTTTCTTTATGTATTTTTGAGGTAAATCCGATGTATATTGAAAACTTGAAATCTTTCATGATTATACCATCTTTATTTTTTAATAATAAATGATAAAAAAAAACATGAAACTACATGAATTCGAGTTCGTTATTGTTCAGTTTGTTCAAGTTCACTCCAGAGTTTTTTTATATTTGCAACAGCAATTACTTGATTATCTTGAGAAAAGTTAAATAAATCCCAATTTTCATTACAACTATCATCTTCTTGACAAACAAACGGTATTTTCTTTAATTCTTCTTGTTTATTTGTATTTAACCAATCGATTGATTTTTGAACAAGTTTTTTCAATACCCAACGAACTATATTTTTTTCAGCTTCACTCCAATTTCCATCATGACTACTTCTTGTTCCTCCCATATGTTGTTCTTTATATTGAGATAAAATTGTTGAAAAAAGTAATGGCATATAATTAATTGCTGTGCGCATAGCCAAACAATTCAGATGTTTTGGACCAGGAATAAGATTTGAACGACTATTTTGAAATATTTTATTAAAATGACTGAAAACATAATGATTACCATTTAAATCTAGAGCTTCTTTTAAAGGAATTGTCGTGTTAATATAAACATCATCGTAAACCGAACAAAATTCGTTACAACATGTTTGAATATAATCGCGTAACAGATCATCCATTAAATTTAATGAGTCTCTATTTGATGGCTGAAAAAATACATGTAACGATTCATTTGGTGTAAGTTTTTGTTGTGAAGATACACTTCGTAAAGCACCCATTAGAATTCCAACTGCAGCTTGTTTCACATAATCCAAATACATTTCATTCTTACTGATTGGAGCAACTATTTCTTCTGCTGTGGTAGTAGACATTGATAATTATCTATGATAGAAAGTCTAAAATCAATAATGATAATCTGTATCTTTCAATAGAAAAAGAACAAGTATTCGAACATCGTTTTTAGACCTTTCCTATATATACATACCGTTTCAATGTGTGCAGTAAATGACGATCGATTGTGAAATTACAGGCATACATTGAGTCACCTTTTACAACGGTTGATTAAGCACGTCATCATGATTTTTTACAATTTGGTGAAAATGACATCATAAAAATAAGCTTTTATCGTTTCTTCACTTCCTTCATATGTTCTCTGTTCTATTGTATTGTAGATAGCCACAATAATTTTTTTCTCCAACTTACACTGTATTTCTTCTACTCATCTATCATGCAATTACTTTTTACATTACTTAAATAAACCAAAAGTGATCAGTTTCCACAAGAATTACATGATATAAAAAGAAAAGAAAAAAAAATATTTCTTAGTTTTTAATATTTCAATCATTGACATATTTGTTCAATGCTTCTTAGTTGACATCGTCGGTATGAATTGTCACGAAACTGTATTTACACTTTATGTTTATCTATGGAACGAAATAATATTATTCCACGAATTCTATTGGGGCGTGAGTGCACGTGTAGGAGTGCGTGTATCAGAAAGAACAGAATCAATCCCTGACGCCAATTTATATTAAAGAAGCAGTCCACATATACAAAATAGAAAAAAACACCTGTGTAAGATATATGTGTACGCAATGAAATATCTTGATAAAAAAACTATAACAAGAAATTGACTGTAACATAGACAAATACAAACGTACAATGTAGATGTCGTATCGTAGTTTTTTTAGTGAAGTGAAACCGTTGGATTTTTCTATTTAATGGACTTTTCCTATGTGTTATGATTATACGAAGTTGTACTTTAATATCAATAAAACAGAAGAAGAGTGGAAGTTGGACCTAGACTGTGAATGTGAGTGCGGGTGTAGGTATAGTATTTGTTTATTATTCACACCCATATCCTCAAGATTTTAAACAATTTTATAAGCGTGTTTTAACTCAAATATACTTGTTATAGCATAGTAAAAAACATGAAAAATATGAACAATAATATAGAATAGTGTGCGATGAACTTACTTTTTACTTTCCGGAATCTCTTAGCGAAGATAGTGTATATATAAATATATGCTGTATGTCTTGGTATTTTCTCTATGCATACGTTTTGATTCTAGCAAAATAGTACGATATTAACTATCTTTACCGTTTTTTTTAGATAAACTAAACAATATTTTTATTGTATTGTTTCCCTTCATTGGCAAATATCTACAGAAACAAGGTATTAGTTAATGAACAGACACTCAGCAGATCATTGGATGTTAACATAATAGTCATCAGTATGCAAAAAAACTGCCCTTTCTGATTTTACAAACAAAATTTCGGATTATTTTCTAAATTTAAAAGAAGCTTTTCGATTTTTAAGTTTTTGCTCTGGCAATCCTGTGACCAATTTATTTATTCATAAATGAAAAACTACAATAGTCCCAACAAAACTAGTTCTGATTGTATGGATATTATGCGTAATTTTTGAGTGGATGCTCTTTTCGGGAACACGCCTTTACCAATGAATTGAATTCACTTCTCGACCCCGTTCTCCAAGCACTGCCTGGATACTTCGCGTCCAGCATTCGTGTAATCCAATCTTGGCATGTGTCGCCATTTCTTGGCACTCTTGTAACATATCCTTCCGTCAACGGCCATGATGGGGGACCATTCTCCACCGCTTCACAACCTACCAACAACAGCACGAAACATAGAACAACGACAATTTTTGAACTGAAACATGAAGAAAAAGACGTTAGCGAATATCAATTGAGAAATTAGACACTTACTTGAGCATTTTTAGTTTCTTGATTCCAACGATAATGTTTTAGCTTCACATTGTTTCTCACGCCTCTTTTTATACCTGAGAAAAAAGTAACCACTATTCGGAGAAATCAAAGCCTTTTAATCTCTATAATTGGCCTTGAAGAGTATCACTACCATTTTGAGATATCAAAGCCTTTTAATCTCTGCAATTGGCCTTGAGTAGTATCATTACCAAAATATTGACTATCGATATGCTCTTCCTCGCACTGCATGATAGTCTTCCATCACATTCACTTGTCTACGATGACTGGCTCTGGACACTCATGAAATCTAACAGATTTTTCTGTCAACTATATAGTGAGATTGAGCGTGTGGTTGAAGCCCCTTTGAAGTTTATGTATATTAAACTCCAGTCATGTTCTTTTTATTTCTACGAACTTTTCAAGGAGAAGGAGAATATAATTCAATATTTTAACATTTGTAATTTTATAGTCCAATATCAACAAGATAAAAGAAGAAAAATAGCTTATATATACATGCTGATAGTATTGTAGTTCATGTGTCAAAAACATTTTTCCTTTGTGGTATGACCTGTTTTCTCGCGTTAAAAATAAATAATAATAAAATATGCTTTTATACATTATGAATTTAAAAGAAATAAAAGTTATTATGTTCTTAGAAACATATTATCAAATTTAAAATATTTTTCACTATTTTGTATTTTGAAGAATCGATTTTTACTTATTCATTTTTAGTATTTCTTCGATTTTCTTTTTAAAGAATGTTTTGATATTTGCTACATACTTTCGTATCTAATAAGGCTTGGTTTGTAAATTTGAACTGTAGATATTTCGATATAAGACTATTCGATTAATACTCATATGAACAGTTTAAATCGCTTAACCAATGTACATATTTAATAGTCATTTTCTCATAAAGTTCATAGACTTTTTTAACGGTAGAATTATAATTCTGCTATATAAATGTAAATCTTGTTCTTTTCGACAATTCAATGTTTAAAATATTATAAAACAGATTTATTTTGAGATTTTAAACCGTATAAAAAAATGAATGAGCACAGTAATTAGAAGAAAACTGAATAAAAATTGAACAAAACAAATGATACAACAACTCAGTAGAAGCGAAATATATTATAAAAAATACTATCCAAAACTGAACTTATAAACCGCTTCAATGGATACACAAAACTTCTTGAGAAATAGTATTTATTTAAGTTCGTACAAAACTGAGACGATAACTAGAGATTATTCACTTGCGAGGACGATAAACAATAATCGTAAAAATTTAAAACAGACATGCAAATTGTTGACAATCGTATAATATAAAATGAAAATCAACATCTGTACTAAAGTAACAACTCATTTTCATTCATAAGTAGTTTGAGTGGCTTCCTCTTTTTTAGAATTAACCTTACAAAATTTCATTTGATTTACCTCGATATTATCTAAAAATACAGCAAAAGTAAAGAATAAAACAATAGATGCACATGATTCTTCCATTCAAATATAAGAGCAAAACAAAACATTATTCATCAATAAGTAGAATACTCACATTTGTCAACAACACCCTACACTATACCAAAAGCACTTTGAAGAAAAACAAAGCCAACTATGAGTAAATATATTTATTGAAATTAAAATAGAAAAAATATACAAAAAATGAGAAAAAAGTATGAAATGAGAACTAACTAAAGGAAAATGTTTGATAGGGAGGAGAAATAGTTCATTATTATACTGGATTATTGTTGGCCCGCTACGTGTTTGAATCAAGGAGACAATGCGACCTTTTATTGAAATCGCCCCCATTATAAAAATTCGAGATTTGCCATCGATCTTTACGTAGGTATAATGGTATGAAAGATAAGATCAGCTAGATGATTATCAAATAATTACTCTATTTCTAGAATGAAGATGTACTACATTGAATTCATAATTAACATTACCTCTCAGATTACAATAGATCTTTTTGTTAATATCAAAAGCATTCTTAACGAGATATAATATGTCTAGGCATGTTTGAATTAAAAGTCGAACTCAAAAATGATGAGATGTTGTATCGACTACTTGACCTAAATCATCTATTAAACGGTATACTTTCTTTTTTCTCATCAAAAATCATAGTTTAGAAGTCGTCAGTCTTTTTATTTCATAGACAAGACGATAAGTAAACTTGTATACATGGCGTTTATTATAAGACTTTTAAACATATAAGTAGTACATATTTTTAATGTTAATCTGTAGCATCCAAGAAAACAATGTAATATAGATTGAACATTACATTACTTTTTATATAAATTTAATTTAACTTATGAATCTTAAATCATCAAAAGTATCAAAATAACATATCAATTTCTTTCTATCGTCTATTTTTTAGTGTATGACATTCAAATGTTATTAGATCAAACCGAGAGCAAATGAATATTTATAAAGTTAAAGTATGATCATACAAAGATCACATTAGCTTGCGGAATATTAAAAAACATGTGATTAGAGTGTTCATTGTTTTTCTGGTATGAAAAGTGTCGCAGTTCAAAAAACTCAAGAAAGATTGATTGGGTATTTTTAAAGCCTAAGTAATTATATAGGAACTTAATCGACCAAAATACAGATTGATGATGTTAAAAATAAAAAATATTTAAATATGACACAGAAAAATAAAGCCATTACTTAAAAAAATATTATCTATACTTTCATAAAGATAAAATAAAAAAGAAGTAAATCTTGATTATATACTAACAAATAACCATCTACTGAAAAGATATGCGATAAAGCCTCCACTTCCTCAATCATGCTTCTATAATTGCAGTTATATTTCTAACGATTAACATCGAAATAGAAACTAATGGAGTTTCAACAAGAGACGTAATTAAATACTGTTTACATGTATTTATTTCCTGTATCTTTATTTAGAAAAATTTCATCCAGCTTCTAAAGAACAAAAAGCACTTGGGGCTTCTATTCTCCTGCTTAGTTTTTCCTGTTTTATTACTATATTGTTTGCTGATATATTGATATAAATACACGATAGTATACCTCGGATACTTTATTTTAAATAAGAAAAATAATTAGAATCATTTGTACGGAACTCAACGGGATATGAATAGTATATTAAAGTTTTAATTATAGAGAGTCAATGTTTATGAAAAAGACGTACAATACGCCAAATCAGTATTAAACAACACGCTAAAAACTCTGTTTACCATTATTAAGCGTTACTATATGAACTTTTCACAAAGGAAAACATAGTTTTTGATATATTGCTTAATACTGATTCCAAGTATGGTACATTAATAATAGTAATGAAGCCAGATAGAACTTTTTTTTTTGCTAGTATAAATAATCTTTTTATTTGCAAATATTTATATGATTCATTCATTAATACGGAACTCCGGCACTAATGACATTACAGAATATATACAGTGGAATATAATTTTGAACGGAAAATATCCCATGTATATAAGTGTAGGCGTTTTACTCATTTTTTTGTATGAATTGTCTTATAAAGATTCATATCAGTAATTATTAGAGAAAAAAAACACAGAGCAATCCATGTAAAAGAGACTACTGAATAGCGCTAACTACATTAGTATATTATTTTGAAAGAAAAGAAGAAAAAAAAAGGAAAAAATACAAAAAAAGAAGAACTCAAAACAATATAAAGGTTGTTGAATTTTTATTATAAATTATTATTCCATTAGTAGATCATATAGAGTATATATAGTATAAATTGATATGTTGTCTCAAGTTCATATGCTACACTTACAATATATATCATATAATATACTAATAAGAATTTTTCTTTTTTTTTATATTTTAGTTTCGCTATGCATTTTATTTGCTTAACCATCTTTATAACTGCTTTATTCTGTGCTAATGGCATCATCGAAGGAAAACCAACTGGTCCATCATCGGCCAATATAAAGGATTATGTAAAATATTTATTAAGTCTAATAGGTGTGGAAAATGAATATACACGATTTTTATCATATGTCAAAATATATCCACCAGAAGATAAGAAAATGAAAGCTCTTTACGATGAATATTTTTCATTGGAATCATATTTATCTGATCTTACAGATATTTATACGAAACATTATACATTAGATGATATACTTAAACTTATCGATTTTTATTCCAGTTCATTGGGTAAAAAAACTCTTCAATTAAATCATGAATTAAATCACCAAATGGAAGATGTAATGTTAACGAAAATCAGTGATTATATATTTACATCTACAGAAAAAGGCTTCGATATTATTTTACCACAAATCTCAAACTAAAAGAGATTAAACAAAAAAAAAATACCATATATTTTATGTCTTGTTTGGTTTCTTTCTAAATTTAAAAATAAATTAAAAGATATACACTTGAAGGAAGTGTTGTTAATGCGAATAATATATTTGTCTTTTTCTACAAAAAAATAAAAGAAAGTAATAAATGATGATATAATATAATTTTAGAAAACAAAGAACTCAAACAAGTTTTCATACAATTCAATTATGTATTTTATTTTATTAGAGAATAATATAATAAGTAGATAAAAAATTATTTAAAAGAATGAAATATTGGATTTAGGTGCAAATTATACTATTAACTATAAATATTTTTCTCGGATATATATTTTTGAATATCATGTGATATTTAGAATGAATAGATAATGTCTCGTGGAAGAAACATATTATCTTTTAATCAGATTATATCAATGGTATACTTCAAGTCTTGATATGTTTGTAATAAGATTACTAAATCAGAGAGTAATTTTATACTAATAAAGAATTAGTTTTTAATTAAATAAACGACCTCATTTCATAATTTTGAAGATATTAAAATATTATATAAATACATTTTTTTAATTACTTCTATATTTAATTACCCTTGAAGTTGTTTAGAAAAATTTTAATTATTATACAAAAAAAAATAATCTAGATGATATTAAAAATTGTTCTTAATTTAAATAGTATTAAATATTCATTGAAGAAATTATTTTGTAACAAATGATGAAGATACAATGATTATACTTATATAAAACTCTTCATTGAATTTATGATTTAACCTGTCTTCTTCGATTACACATTTGACATTCTTGTATAGAACTCAGACAATTATGTGTGACACATACAATCTAATCACTAAAGATATTCAATAATAATCTTACATAACATCGAACATTAACCTAATTTCATTTATGAAATAGATTTTTCTTTTTCGTATATCGTATTTTAATCAGTTTTGTTTTTTTGTTCTTTAAATGTCCCAAAACAATTGATTTAATAAAAAAAAAGACGAAAGTGTGAGATTTGTTTGACCTTGTGGAATTGAATGTTGATAGGAACAAAAAAGTAATAATTTTTCTAATAAAAATAAATGATATTATGTAGAGCAACATTGGTTGAGGTTAATGAACGATGGAAGAGAACACAGATCAATTTACATATGGACGTCAGAGAGAAAATAAATTCAGGTGCTTTTGTATTGTTATAGATTAGAAATTGAATGACATAGTCTTCATTTATCATACATGCTGTTGTGTCCTTCTGCACGGAAGGAGAAGAAAAAGAGAAGAAAAATGTTGGACATTTTCAAAGTATTATATAATTTGTATTTTAGTTTTTATTATACATACATATGAATATAGTATTAAGATCTGTCTTATCTTTCAAAATAAATATTGTTAATTGAATTTGGTAAGAAAAATAAAATCATTGTTTTAATTTAGTATAATCTGTTTGAAAAAAAAAGAAAACTACTGACTAGAGAATTATTTGTTCTCAAGAGAAGTAGTGATTAATTATATCTATTGTTATTAGATGACCTTCGTTTTGATTAAGAAAAAAGTTGAAGGCATATTTGTAATGATGATTAGAATGTAATGTCTAGTCAAATATAAAAATGAGTATGTAATATAGATAGACATATATGTAATTCCATTTTCTCGGATAGTTAGAAGAATTATGAAAAAAAAGATAAAGTGGAACGAGAATAATAAAATCGGAAATTGAATCATGTTGAGAACGATCATAAATATACACATGTTAATATATTATCATATAGAAACACCCAAGGACTTATATATTCGTCCTGCCATCTTGGCGTTTCAAGGCCTACCGGAGAGCACGATTATGACATCGTCAAAATTATATATATATGTATATGTGAAGTGAGATTTAACTAATTGTTAGATTACATCTTGATGTTAAAAGTTCATTTTTTCTTTCTCAAGATTTTAATATCTATATTAGAATGTGAGTCACTTCCGATAGATTTTCTATCCTCTGTAATTCATCCTTTAAGAAAAAAGCTTTTTACTATCTTCCGTGTGAACTCTAGATTAGGGTAATTAAGTATTATATCTTTAGTCATGAGAAATGTGCACTTCAAATATTTGTATCATTTCTTTTTTTTATAGATAATATGCATGAACAACATGATGTTGCAGATCCAAATTTAAATAATAATCCATCACGTAAAATGGTTCAATTTAAAGATACAATTCTAATTCCAGCTCAATCCGCAACATCAACTAGTCTATTAACATCTTCGTCATCATCAACTTCACTTACACTTCCATTAATTGCAGAAAAAACAGGTGCACGTTTTAAATTTCTTATACTTCTTCTTAGTCTTTTTATTGCATTGACTATTGGTTTTATTCTCAGTCTTTTACTCGTTACTCAGTTAAATCATCATGTACCTAAACATACATTATCATCTCAACAATTTCATTCAATATTATCTAAACAAAATATAACGAATAATAAGAACAAGAATCGTCTATTTGAACATCTTGATTCAGTATGGATCGATGAATTAGATTTTAATACTGATATTTGTCATAATTTCTACAGTTTTGTTTGTCGAAAATGGTTAACAAATCATCCATTATCACCACTTGATTTTAAACGAAGTTGGTTAACAGAAAGATCACAAGATATTCGAGAAAAATTTGCTTTAACATTAGCTAATTTAAGTGAAATCTGTGCATATAATTATCAAATGGAAATTAAGAAAAATCAAACTGAAACAACAACCAAAGAAATGGATATCGTTGATTTTGAAGGATTAACATCTGCAAAAAATGAGTAAGTTTAAATATACTTCTCTAAGTTTTTTTCGATAACAGACATTATTATTCTAGACTTGAACAATTTTATTCATTTCATGATGGATATGAAGATGAACATCATAAAATAGTCAAACGTCAAACACCTTCAAGTCAAAATAATTTATCGCAATCTATATCAAATATGTTTCTCTATTATAATCAATGTATTCATACATCTGAATCTTTACTTCTCGAAGAATTAAGGCAATTAGCACATGATCGGTTTTGGTTTACAAATAATTATGAAATAACATATACAACCAATCATTTACATTTTCTTTTTGAACAAATGATTGAACATCCATTAATGCATATATGGAATATAAATACAATAAATCTTGGTACACAAATTATACTTCATATTCAAAGAAAAACTCAAGATCAACAAACATCTTTTCAACCACATTATATTGAACAAGCTAGTTTATTTGAACATTATGTCAAAAAACATCATATTGATTTATGTTATCAATCATCACGTGTTGGTCCTTTAGCAAATACATTAAAAGAATATAAACAATTATTAACACTATCATTATCATATACAAATTCTACAATAAGTGATGATTTACATAATTTATTAGCTGAAAAAAATTCTTTACCAATTATTTATTCATCTGTACGACATCCAAATGATTTAGGAGATTTAATTCAATTTATGTTAGATAAACAAATGATTGAATCATTAAATGATACGCATATTTATAATTTATTAGTCAATTTTACTCGTGATTTAGAACAATCTCTAATTAATATACCAATATTTCGTAGTACAATATCATATCAATGTCAATTATATCTTAATTATTATATTCAATTTCGATCATTAAATAATACAAAATTCGATGCATGGTTTGATTATATTTCAGCATCAATAATACATTTAATTGTTCATTCATGGCCAGGTGATGCATCATATATATGTTTATATTCTACAATAGTTCGTCATAATCAATTAGAAATAATACCCTACTGGAATTCATTTATTGAATATACTAAAAAACAAATCAAAGATATTTCTTCACCAATTATAACCGTTGAAATACGTTTAATAGATTTTTTTCAACTTGATTCAGTATTTCGATTTTTATTTGCTGATCAATATGCACATTATTGTAATTTAATGGTTTATAAATATGGTCCGAAATTATTACCATTTGTTAGTGTTTTTCATGAAGGAATACAAATCAGTTTAAAAAGTCTTTGGAAACAAAGTTTACATGAGAAGTCAATCGAACAAATAAGTAAGATAAACACTATTATACGACTAGAAATATGATGAATAAAATCATATAAAGAAGATAAGGGTGGGTGTGAGTGCATAAAGAAACCACAGTCAATCACACTCATATTCTAAGTAACACCAACACCCCCAAGATGCTCTAAATCAACAGATGGCAGCTTTAGCAGAGAAAAAATATGATGAAAAGAGTACAGTTGTCCTAGGGTTCACGCGGATCCATAGCACCATTTTCTTTATCTATTAGACTTATCTGTGATTTGAAATAAGGATGATATAGACCAACATAGAATTAGAGATGATATAAAGCGATAGGTCAATCACAGAAGTCCTTGATGTAATTTTGAATGAAACTCTGTGAAATGGGTCCGCATGGATCCCACGAAGGGTTAAGAATTGAACATACAATGATGATGTTCATTTTAATTTTTTAATGATAGATTCAAATAACTTACTCTTTTTATTATCTCTTTTCTTTTGAAAAATATATATTTATTAATAAAAAAGTTCATCATACTATTTTCTTTTTCTACTGAAGATATTCAATCATTATCATTACCATTCAATCATATACCAAAAGATTGTTTAGCTTTACTTGAATATTATTATCCGTTTACTTTATCATCATTTTATGAAGAATATATGTTAAATAAAACTGAAGAACTTTATTCAATAGCTTATCAACTTCGTGATCATCTTATTTTAAGTAATTTAAATAATCAATTTTTATCATCTCTTCAATTTCATATAAAACCTGAACGTTTGAAATTATTTCATGATCTTTTTCTAACAACAACACATATTCCATATGAATATTATTTTATAGAAAATAATTATTTATCAACAGCATGGAATATAATTGAAAGTTCTCATGAAAAATTACTTCAACCTACACATGAATTTTTTGAAATTAATGGTTATCATACAATAAAACAAGGAATTTTTCTACAACCGACTGTTGCTGAACTTTATTCAAATGAAACAACACGTATAGGTGCACTTTTACTTATTGCACATGAACTTGGTCATGCTCTATGTCCATGTGGAATAAATTTAACTGAACGTGAATATTTTGCTGATTTAATTGCATTAAATTTACTTATAAATTATCAACAAGAACAATTAAATCTAACAACCAAACAATTAAATTATATAAAAACATTTTTTATTACATATGGCCAATCAGAATGTACACATATTAATCGTGAAATGATTTCAATAATGAATAATGAATTACATATTAATCGTGTATTAAAAGGAAATCAACAATTTCAAACAATATTTAATTGTTCAATGAAACAAAATAAATATGCAAACAAAATCAATAGTTTATTACCGGAAATATGTACAGCATGTAGAGAAAAGAAGAATGAATTAGTTTCATAAATATAATACAGTAAAGATCAACGAATACATTTGTATTTTATTCATTTTCTTTTCTTCGAAAATAAATGTAGGATAAACTTGTATCGTAATAATTTTTCAATGTTTTTACAAATATATATGTATGCTTATTATTATTGCAATGATTTTTAGTATGTAATAAGTATTTTATGGACAAATATTTATAATTATATATGACAACAGCGGGTAGTAGGATTTACATTTGATGTAGTTGGAGATGAGAGTGTTATTATATTGGAAGTTCTCCTTCGTAGACATCTTCCAGTGTCAATATTTTCCAACATCTATAAACATCACGCTAGTTTTGAAATATAAATATTTGTTTTTCATTTTACTTTGCCGAGAAGAATTGAAAAAGCTTCTTTAATGTTGATGTTATTTTTGGCGGATGTTGCTAAGTAATCAGTGAATTGATGTCTACGAGAAAATTCATTTATAAAATCTTCATTGATGTCAGTACCGTCTCTTTTTAAATCACACTATAATAATTATAGAATTATTTAATTTTCAAAAGAAATATTTTACTTTATTGCCAATAAGTATACATGGCACTTGATTATTCTCATGAATATCAAGTTTTTTATCAAAATCATCTTTCCATTTTGCTGCACTGTTCGTTAAGCTTACTGGTGTAGTTATATCAAACACGATAAGACAGCCAGCTGCGTCTTTGTAAAATAATTGAGTCATACCTCCAAATCGTTCTTCACCGGCGATATCCTTATTAAAAATAATGTGATTTTTAAAAGAAAAATAATTATGAATATCTGCAAACCCAAATATGAAGATGAACAATAGTATTGGGATCGTATTGAATCTTTTGAACAGCTAAATCAGCACCAATCTAAGCGATTTAATTTAATAAACTATATTCTAATTAAATAAATATAACATACGGTAGTGCGATAGGTTCCTGAAAAAGTATTTTTTGTGTAGCGATTTATAATCGCTGTTTTGCCAGTATTACGTTCACCAATAACTAAAACTTTGAATCGATATTCTCGTTTCTCGTTTTCGAGTGGTATCGATATTGACGGTTTTTTTCGTTTAATTATCTTAAAAAGAAACAGTAATAAAATCATATTAATATTCTCAGATTTATACTTCGTCGATCAACGTTTTCAACGATTTTTCAATATTGATATTTTCTTTATTTGATGTTTCAAAAGAACAACAAGAACCAAGCATTTGACAGTAATCTTTCATACTACCTATGGCATAATCAGATTCTTGGCTTTTCTCAAGATCACACTAAAAAAAAAAAAACATTAACTATTGAAAAAAATGAAAACTATCAACTTTTAATTAGACAGACTTTATTTGCTAAAAGCATCCATTGCAAATCATCTGATTTATTTACATTTCGAATGTCATTATGCCATCCTAATACATTATCATATGTCTCTGGACGAGATAAATCAAACATAATGATGCATCCATCTATGTTCTTAAAATATTCGTTTATTTTTGTTTTTCCTCGTTGTGAACCAGCAATATTCTATAAATAGAAAGTTATTTTATTAAGAATAAATTTATTTTAGATCACTTTTGTACAAATATTTTTATTGAAATATCAGCACCTTGATTAGTTTTTAATTTTATTGTAAGAATATCACATTCTTTCTAGAAAAAAAAATGGAGCTGATAAATAAAACTTCTAAGGAAAAACAAAAATTATATTTACAGTTCTAGTAGTATCATGAGAGAATGCTTGTTGTTGAAGTCTTTTGATATAAGAACTTTTACCAGTTCCGCTATCACCAATTATCAGAATATTTAATTGGCTAATTGGAGCAGGTGGTGTAGCCATTATTGTAGGATACTTTAAGTCTTTTGTTTTTATTAAGATAGTGAAAGACAAAAAACCGAGTATATTTATATTTACAGACTGATAAGAATAGAAAATTCTCATGTTGGAATGAGTCATAATCACGAGATAAATATTTGTATTTCGTCTGTCTTTTAGTTTTTCACATTAAAAAGTGTTACAAAGCTATTATTTACACTTATTTTCCAGTTCTTTTTTATGTTACACGTACCATTCATAATGAATTACTTCAATATTTATCATGATCCAGTGAAAGATTTTGTTTAATATGTATCAAAATAAAAAATGTCAATTAGAACATACGATAAGTTGAAATATTAGTATTCAATTAACTGGATTCATTGATATTAAAGTTTGATAGTATGTAATATATCCTATTTATACCAAAAGCAAAACTGTATCTCATATAGTCAGTATCGCGATTTTCATACGAAGTTAAGTTTGTATGTAATCAATCATATTAAATCGATATTAACATATATGATGCAAAGATATTATATAATTATCAAGTTAATGTCTTAAGTAGAGTTTTTTTTACTCAATGACTTCATCCTTTCTTATAACTTTCGTAATAAACTATTCTTTTGCATGAAGATCAAAAAAACCAGTGATTTAATTTTACTGATGGATTATATAACATTCGTACTTTAAGTTATATATAAGTCGTCGATATTGAAAATTGCAAACCTTTATATGGTCAATATTATGTTGTGTCTTGTTATCTTCTTGTCGTTCTTTGTACGAGTATCTTTTTTTGCTTCGCTTTGTAATAAAAAAAAATACGAAAAGAAAAAGAACATCATTATTATATGATAAGAATCTAGTAAAACAAAATAAAAAAAACATTTATCAAACCAAATGCAAGGAAGATACATGATAAAATGGTTAATTTTGTTTCTAATCACTGTGAAATATGCTCATACAGTTGAAATATTTATTAAAAAAACCAATAGTAACGATGATCAAGATGTAGAACAATTACAAAGTTATGCTAATAAAACTTATCAAATACCTCTCTTTCAAAAACGTTATGTTACAATACGAATTAATCCAGATGAGCTTCGTGGTAACAAAAATATCAAAAACAATAAGATTGTAGGATTTAAATTTCAAGTTCAAACAACAGATACTCGAATAGTGCGTATTCAAAAAGAAGTTATGGCACCAACAAAAGAAGTAAATGCAAATAATTCAAATAATGTCTTACTAGAAGATTTATTTATCTGTAAGTATATAGTTTTATTATAATTCGATAATTTGCAAACTTTTGAGAAGTTTAAAATAGGATTTTTACGTATAAGATTAAAAGAATACGAATTTTTCTTTATGCAATTAATTCATAAGCTTTTAAGTCTTTCTAATCAAATTAAACATTCCTTTTCAATGCATGTTTTTCATTCTTTAAGTATGACATATTTTCGTACGTCGAGGGAATAAAAAACAAGATAAAATCTTTCCACATGCAAAGGTAGATATTAAAGTCTTCGTAACCTTTAAATACGTTCTCATAATATTAAACTTATTAAATATGTATCACTAATAGATGAATAGTTTTCAGTAAACTATTGTAGTTTTATTTTCTGTTGATTTTAATCAGATATGATACTGATAATACTTTCATAATAAAAATGAATAGATACTTCAACAATGTCATATCATGACTACATATATTCATAATACTTTTTTTCATTCTTATCTTTGTACTTTTGTCTCATAAATGTGTTTAAATTATTTGACTTTCTTTTATAAATTATGTTAATAAAATCCAGTTTTGAAATTTTATGATCAAATAAAGTCCGATTTTATTTATAGTACCTGAAAAAAATGCACTTGGTCATATATTTAATGCTTATCCATCGCCGACATTAATTCATCTTGATAATCAATTAGCAATTGATATAACATGGTTAATAGAAAGTACGAGGATGGAAGAAACAATCTTAACATTTGTTATGGATGTATTTTATAAAGATGATTCTAAATCATCCTATACATGGTCATTAAAAGTTCTTGTTATACAACCGAAACGTACAATAGATAGTGTGTTTATGATGATATTACCATTTTTAATAGTATTTATTTCAATACAAATGGGTATATTACTTGATACAAAACTTTTAATTGGTCTTGTTAAAAAACCTAAACCAGTTATAGTTGGTTTTCTTTCACAATATGGTCTAATGCCATTTTTAGCAATGGGTATAGCAAAAGTTTTTAAATATACACCGTTATATAGTCTTGCTCTATTTGTTATTGGATGTTGTCCAGGTAAAGTATAAATAAAAGAAAAATATATTTTTTATACAAATAAAAAAGAAAATTTTTAGGTAGTGGTGCTTCCAACCAATGGACACTTTTGTTCGATGGTGATGTTAATTTATCAGCTGTAATGTCATTTGTATCAACTGCTACATCTTTTGTTATGATGCCACTCTACTTCTATACATTAGGACGTATTTATACGGATGAATTACATATACGTGTACCATTTTTAGGTCTTGTACGATCATTGGCACTTGTTGTTATACCATACAGTGTTGGTATTGTTATTAGTCATTATTCACCAAAGACGCGTAAAATTGTTGAATCTCTTGTTAAGCCACTGATGTTATTTCTTCTAATATTTTTTCTTGTTTTTGGTACAATTGTTAATTGGTATTTACTTACAATGATTGATTTATATACAGCATTAACAGCACCATTATTACCTTATTTAGGATTTTTACTTGGTGCTTTTTTTGCATGGATATGTCGACTTGATTGGATTCATATTAAAACCGTTGGTATTGAAGCTGGAATACAAAATACTGGTATTGCATTCATGATTATATTATATTCATTTCCACAACCTTATGCAACACAAGCAATTGTTGTTCCACTTGTCGTAGCTTTCTTAACAACAAAACCATTCTGGCTTGTTTATGTTATTCGAAGTCAAATAATTAAATATAAAAAAAGAAAAGAATTAGAGAATAGTAAGAATATATTAACATCAATAACTAATAATAAAAAATTAATTCTGTTTAGGTAAGGAGAAACCAATTTTAAACAATGAAATAAATAATACAAAAGAAGACGCTGCCAAAATGATGCAAACATTATAAGAAAAAGTAGAAACGAAAGAAAAAAACGAACAATCGTTATTGTTATTATAGATCTTTTTTTTTATTACTTTTTCTTTTTTCATCAACAATGTTTATACATACACTTGTGTGTATATTTTGTTAGTATCGATTTCAATGTTTGTACTGATTTTTTTCTTCTACCATCGATCGTTTTTCTTGCTTTACTTCAGCTTTCTTTTTTTTTTATTTGAGTGATCAATAAAAATAACATTTTTGAATCACAGAAAAAAATTTAAAGCATAATATCATAAGTTGTTTTCTTAAAAAATAAAAGAAAAGTAATGAATACTATTGATTCTCATTCTCATCAACAATTTAAATATGAATATATTATTGGTACATCTTTAGTAAGTTGTTGTTGTTGTTTTTTTTTGTTTATTAGAAAATAAAAATTTCTTTATTCAGTCAAATGTTCTTCAACGTTCGAATCAAGTACATTATAAAATAATTATGAAAATTTTCTATCGATTCTTTTTTTTATTTCGAATTAGATCAGTTCAAATGTTGATACAAATAAAGAACATCATGTACTTCATTATAAAGAAAATTATACACCACCTATTCCAATAACTGAACAACTTGAAAAACAACAACAACAGCTTCAAATAATTGGCTCAGAATTTAATTCAAAAATATCTAATCATCAATTATCATCGAAACATGTTTATTCTTCTCTTGTTCCAAAATTTAAATTATCAAGAGTTGATCAAACTATGTTACAATTACCAAAACGAACAACATTTTTGGCTAATAGAAAAACACAAAATAATATGTATCCAAGGTATAAAATAAAAATAATACTCATAGAACAATTTATAAGTTTTATGTGTATGATTTAAAAACAATAATCAACAGAAAATATAATTAATTTTGTTTATAGAACATGGATTTCACAAGGTTCTCTTGCGGTCAATAATACAACGTCGAATAAATTACCTGTTATTTCTTCAAATCATCATCAAAATGCGGCTACACAAAATTCTGTTAATGTAGGTGAGCGTGTATCATACATGTGTGTAATCCTTTTTTTCATTCACACTATAAATTCCATTAAATGTAATATACAAGTATGCGAGAGAACAAGATTGTTATATAACAGTTTGAGTGTTTCAAAATCGAACTTTTTGGTTGTTCTTTGATCATACTATTTATTTGTATTACTTTAAGAAATCGATCATGTTACAACGAACACAAGCAAATGCAACATTAAATTCAGCTATAACAATTTTGAAAAAGACATCTACAAATAATAATCAAACATTACCGAGATTATTCAGAAAAATTCAACAATCGAGTAATACTACAGGACGAGATACAGCACCACTTAAATTACCTCCATTATCGAAAAAATTATCATCAGGTAAATTACATAGAACAAACATTTGATTTTATATATATAATATTTTTTAGTTATTAAATCAAAGTCAACAGATAATATTCAAGATTCACTGTATGCTTTACATTTAATATATTTTCCAGATATATTTTAAAAAAATTTTTCAGACGTTTTCATGCATCTTCGTCAACTCCCACAAATCGACTTGTCTTACAGCCTACACCAGTTCTACCAATTTACACATCAAATTATCCAGTAACATTATTTACTCAACAACAACATTTACCAGTAGTAAAAGATCGTATGATCAAAGCTAATCTAACACAAAAAGCGAATTTTAAATGTAAATCACCGCCTTTCTTCCGATCAGAAAGTTCGCTTAGTCGATCAACAGTTACAGTAGTAGCTACTTCTCAAATACAAACAAAATCAAACAATCCACTTAAAGTATTTATTTACTTTTATCAATTTAATTTATACCATCTTGAGGGTGTGAGTCAAGAGAAGACAGCTATACCCACACCCTTCTGTTAGTAATATCAAGGATACTGCTCACTAGATATGATGGAAACAAATAAAAAGGAATCGTAAAAATATTTATTTCATGAGAATAGCTATTGATATAAGTAAAGAATACATATTGTCTGCTAGCATTATCATTGACACTAATCTGCTTACATTCTGATACAGTTATCTTATTGTTTTCTTTGAACTTGTAGCATATGATTGCAAGTTCATTACTTAGCGAAGCAGATCGTAATAAACTAAATCGATTATTTCAACAACTTGATACAGATAAAGATGGGTATGCTAAAGAATACTTTTTAAAACATCATTATTTACAAAAAAAATCTAGGCATCTAACATATACTCAAGTACAAAAGTGTTTACCATCCAATTTACCTCGTGCTCAAGAAACATTCTTTCGTGCAGTTCGTAGCACAGAATAAGGCATATTAAAATTGTTCTATTTACATTTATTTTTTCCTTTAGTTATATGATATAACAAGTGATATAACTTATTTTGGTTTACAAGAATTCTATACTACAGCTGTACTTGTTAATATGATAGCTGAGCAAGAGTAAGATAAAGATTATTTTGTTTTTTCTTTTATATAAATAGTTTTAAAATAATTTAGTTCACATATATGGAATACATTATTAGATGATGTTGATTTTAATTATTATCATGATGATATAGTTGAATTACTCGAAGAATTTGATAGTCGTTATTCACCTGTAACATCAACAATAAATTTTGATAATCTTGTTGCATTAATTATGAATCGAACAACAAATGGTAAATATGAACGTATTACAAAAGAATTAGAAAATCTTATTTCAACCATAAAAATAATGAAATTTACTCGATTAGAATTTATTGCACTTATACCAATTATTATTTATATTGAATCATGTCTTGATCAAGGAAAAGCATTATTTCGTTTTAACGATAATTCTATACTTGATTTACATATACAAAAAGCATTATTAATTTAAATGCGATCATAATCTGTTTGTTAAATGTAATTTTTTTTCTTAAGTGAAATATAATTTAAAATAAAGTAAAAAATATATTTATAGTTTTTATTGCAATAAATTAATAAGAAAAAATAATCAGATTTAGACGATCCTTGCAGGAATAGAATATATTCAAAAACGAAAATTCACGAAAAACGATTTAGGTGTGTGTTTGAGGGTGTCAGTATGAATATAAGAATATCTTAATTATCTCAACCACACACACACCCCGACCTCAGATTCGACGTCTGTACATCGCAATATCTCAAGAAATGTCTTTTCCGGAAAATCGGTGTTTGATGTTTTTTTTACCCTACAGAGACATATGCAAGCAACAGAGCAAATGATTTTATTCCTGCTGGACTCTTCTCTACGAGATTGAGACTAGAAAGAAATAGTCAGGGTACGAAAAATTAACATTGCATCTTTTATCGATATTAAGTATCATAAACAGAATGTGATTTTATTGTCCATTTGAAAAGTATAGAAAGAGAAAAGATATGGATAAATATTCTTCGATCGATCGAATCGATTCATTTGATTAAAGAAATTCTATATAATATATGTACTTCTTTTTTTTCTAGATATTCAGATGGATAAAACACCATTTTTAAGTACTATGCTTGCATTGTACAAAGATAAATTAAATGATTATCACAATCAGATAATAATAGTAAGTCATTGGATAATGATTAAAGCTGGCTTCGGTAATGTGGAACAGGGAAAGGTAAGATATATTGATTAGATTTAATTACTGTTGTATGCTTTTTTAATAGGTGGACGAGTTTATTCATTTTGATGAACGTGATGAAAAAGGAGTATGGATTAATCATATGGTAGATACGAAAAAAGTATCAGCAAATTACTTGATGGAAAAATATATATTTGCCGTTGAATTTTCAGTAAGTACCAACAAGATAATTATTATCATTAATCCTATGACGATGGTTCCTGCAGCAGGATTCCATCAATTTCCGACGAAATCCCTGCGAAAACTCGCTATTTTCGGGCTGGACCCGCCCGGAATCCGATGGAGAAGTGAGGTAACCGTATTCAGCTGCCGGTTCCGACCCAAATCAGATAAATCCGGTCTATGGGTTTTACATTATTTTCACAAAAGGATCTTCTATTATGGGGGGAAGGGTTCTTTTATTATAGAGTGGGGTTTAATTTGTGTACATCTTTTTCTTCTAGATTAGAAAATGAATAAGTATCCCTTTCTGAATAGTATGATGTCATTATACGAATGTAGTATCAAAAGCTACCAAGATGAAATAGTTATCATAATCCACTGGATGTTGATTAGAGCCGGTTATGGATATATAGAAAATGGAAAGGTAAGACTTATATTGTTTAATTTCATCACTTATGTAAGCATTTCTAAAGGTCGACGAATCAATTCATTTTGATGAACGTGATGAAAAATTCGTTCGATGGGATTACTGCTTCTATGAAATCTCCGGAATCGGCCGTTTCCGTGCCGGATTGTTCGACCTGGGATTGTATTTTTTTTTCTTCTTAAGTGAAATATAATTTAAAATAAAGTAAAAAATATATTTATAGTTTTTGTTGTATTAAATTAATAAGAAAAAATAATCAGATTAAAATGGTCCTTGCAGGAATAGGATATATTTAAAAAT